TGTAAAGAGACTGGGCTTCTTCCCACATCTAGAATATTTCCTTTGTCCCTAATCTTCGTGTCCTATCTCCAAACCAATTACTTAGCCATGTCAGAAAATTATGTTTATAATTCTGCATCTTTTAATGTTCCCAATTTCTCTATTGAGTAGATCCTTCTGAAACATGCTTTGGGGTTATAGTCAATGAAGTCCTTTCGAGGTTTAGTCACCACTGGAATGCAGTGAAGATACAAATGTGTTTAACACACATACATTCACAACAATAGGAAAATAAGAACTAAGAACTGGCCATTCAGCCCCTCTTGCCTGCCCTTGCATTTTATTAGATCATGGGTAAGGTGCCCCAGGCCTCAACACCTCTCTTGTGCCAACCCCTCATAGCTCTCAACTTCTCAAGATTTCAAGCATCTATTGATCTGTTTACTCATATTAAAAGTACAGGTACATTTGACAAAGACACATCATGCTCTAGATTATGCATGCTAGTCTCAAGTGTTGATCTAAATTGCCTTCTATTGTGAAGTGACCATAACGTAGGACCAAAGTCAATTTGTCTACATATTGTTTTAGGGTCTGAGCTCATTGGGCCTCTCTCCTGGCGATACTGTAATGTCATAAAACAATAATATTTTGTGGCTACATTCCCTCCACAAAGTCACTGGGTAATGTGCTCCTCAAAGTGGTCCATTAATCCTTCAGTTTCAAAAGTTATCAACCCTGTTTTCAAATCCCTCCAGTGCCTTGGCCCCTCTCAATCTGTTTCTGTTTAACCAGCCTATCCAGGTATATTATGACACACATTAGGAGCAGGTGAGAGTTAAACCCAGACCTTCTGGACCAGAGGTGTTCCTACTGTGCTACAACAGCACTTTAAATACTTTCTAATCAACCTGCTCAGAAATATCATCAGAAACTCTGTAGCAGGTGGGACTTGAACCCAGGCCTTTCCTGGCTCAGACATAGGGACACTACCGCTGCACCATAAGAGCCCTCTTCCTACTCGCTACAATCTCGTCCAGCCTCATATTCCTCCAAGGTCTTTGTATGCCTCCATTTCTGGCCTCAGACATGTCCCTCGTTCCCTCCCACCCCTTCCCAATTTTAACCTCCACATGCCTTTAACTGCCCAGGCTCCATAAATATTGGCACAACCTCCTAAACCTCTCCTCTATCCCTCTCTCCTTATTTAAGACCCTCCTTAAAAACTAATTTTCAGACCCAACTATAATGGAGGACGGGTTTTTTCTCTGTACTCTTCAGTGAGCTGCTTCATCACTTCAACAAAACTGGGAGCATCTGCCCACATTTTCTGTTCCCAGCATTTCACTGTGGCCGAGATAATCTCTGATCAGAGCATTTATTTGGGAAAGCTTAGGCTTGCATAAGCACTGCTGCAAAGTAAGGCACTTTCAAAATCAGTTTTTGTTGCTAGGGTTTCATTTTCAGTTCATATTTTTAGCTCCACAAGCTCCAGTTAGGAAAAATGAATGTCCCTTCCTCTCCCCATTAAAAGAAAAACTGGGGAAACTCAAAAAGTTAATTTTGAACTTTACAAAAGCAAACCATAATAAACAAGGAAGTAACAAGGTATGATTGGAGCTAATTGACAACCCACAATCACTTACACAGTTTGCAGTCACCACTTGTTGTGTTCCTCATTAGAAACTTTGATTACTTTTGGAAGTGCTGTGATAACACAATTGATCATCAAGCCATTTTTTAAAAATTGCAATGAAACATATCTATAGCATGGTATTTGTGAACGGACTGTGAGTGGAGCCCAGGAACAGTAAGAAGCTGTTTCAGCCCTGGAGCCTGCTCTGCCATTAACCAGATCACAGCTGATCCCTGATCTAACTCATTTCCGCCTTTGTCCCGTAGCCTGTCGCACATCTAGTTTAAAAAAAACAGTTTAAAAATTGCAATCAAATGCAGCTTCAACTCCCGCTTTTTGGAGCAAATTCCAATCTTTGACTATCCTGAGAGTGCAGAAATTCCTAATTCACTCCTGAAAGACCAGGCTCTAGCTTACAAAACCTAAAAATTAGCTTTGCCGCCTCCCAGACTCTCTGACATTTGGAAATAGTGCCTATTATTTATCTTACCTGCTTCCCCTTGACATCTTAAAAACTTTTATCAAGCAAGTGGTTTAGAGGAGATATGAAATATAATTTTTTTCACCCAGAGGGCAGTAGAAATATGGTACATGTTGTCTGAAAGGTGGTGGAGGTAGACACTTCTCTAACATTTGAGAGGCATGTGGGTGAGTACTTAAAATGCCAAGGCATAGCAGGCTATGGACTAAATGCAGGTAAATGGGATTAGTTTAGTGATTGTTGGTCGGCATAGACATGGTCAGCCGAAGGGCCTGTTATAATGCTGTATGACTCTAAGTTATGCTTTAACCTTCTAAATTGCTGGGATTAAAACCTTAGTTAATATAACTTCTTGCAACTTAGCTCTTAGGGGTCAGGTATCATATTGGAAAATGAACTTTACACTCCTCCCTAACATTAATATAATGCTCCTGGGTGGGGGCTCTTTTACAAAATTCTTTTACAAAATTCCCAGTGTGGAAACAGGCCATTTGGCCCATCAAGTCCACACCGACCTTCCAAACAGCACCCCAACCAGACTCATCCCCCTGGCCACTGTGTCGCCTGATGGTGCAGTGGTAGTGTCCCTACCTTTGAGCCAGGAGACCATGTGCTCTAGAGGCGTGTAACAAAATCTCTGAACAGGTTGACTAGGGAAAAGGAACATACAATACAGTCTTCCCTATAGGGTGTTGTGTAGGAGACAATGTAATAGATGTGGTCCAATCAGGGCTTTTTACAGTTGAAACAGGAGTATTCTAGTCCCCTGGATGAAGAGGTCAACATTTAAAGCTTTCTACTAGGCGAGATTTAGCTAATGGTTAAATGTAACACATCTCTACTACTGTGGGAGTGAAATACTTCAATAGTTTGATACAGGCGACAACAAAATGGCTCATGCTATAGTTTAATTCCACAACAATGGTTGTGCATGACTGGCTGGGGTAGGGGACTGTAAAGCTGCTTTGCAGAGCAGAGTGACACCAACGGCATGGGTGCAATTCCCACCGCAGCTGAGGATATCATGAAGATTACACCTTCTCATACTCTCACCTCACCAGAGGCATGCAGCACCAGTCGTCTCTCTCTACTAAGAGAATAGCTTCCTGCAGCCATTGGGAAACATTGTTAACAAAATAGCAAAAAAAAAATTCAAATTCAACTCTACTAGACATTGTGGGTGGTGTGCACTATTATCTGCAGACTTGGATGGTAGACTATTGGGATATTTTAGGAACAAAACCAACTTCCAGTAACTGAGTGGTAGAGAGGTCCTTGCTCCTCAGGCTGGAAAGAGCTGTGTGCAAAGGATAATTGGTAGTTTGTAGCCAACTTTTCTGTGGCAAGCTTAATTTTACATGGGCATGTTGGGGGTTTGGTTTCTAGGTTCATTTTCAAAACATTTCTTTTCCAAGTAGGAATGTCGATTTTCCGATTTTAAATCTTGAACTTCTGTAACTTATTAGTACTCAAAAGTGAAAATGTATTCTAGCTGAATTTTAGTACTGTATTCCTCCTAATAATTTCTGACCTAAAACCCACCTCAAAAGCCAGTGAAGCACGTGGGGGCTTGATTTTGCTTAAGCCATTTTAAAAACAAATGACTGCTAAGGAAACCATCATTTTAAACTATGATGCCACCGATTAACTGGGCTGGAGTGATCTCTTTCATTCTAGACTGGTCGATCCCTTTCGGAATCATATCTCCGGGGTCGCTGTCCATTTTTAAAACAGGGCATTTGGGCGTAAACATTACTCTCCAGGAGATCAGGGCGGTTCACCAAAAAGCATTTGTGTTATTTTGCAGTGGGTGAAAGTTGCAACATGTTACAATTAGCAACATGTTTGTGTTCAAAATACCCAATTCCTCTTTCGCAGCGGCTAACTCTGTGTCACTTCGGTGGGAATTATGTTACCAAAACGAAATTAATGTAACAAAAAGTTTCCCTCTCAGTTTGAGTAATAGTCTATCGGATTTGAAATAGAGAGAGATTTCAGGATTTAACCCAGACAGTTAAAATAATTTCACTTCTTCAAAAATAAAATAAGCAAAAGGAGAATTAGCTTTTCAAAACAAAAGAAAAAAAATTAACCCAACGCCGCAAAATCTGTTTGAACACTTGTTCCTCGCATTTAGGACCACAATGAGGCAAATCTCCACACAATTCACATCGAGATTTTGTTTTACAATTAACATCACAAACTCCTCGGGCTAAACCTGGGCAATAGCTCCAAATCCCGCTTAGCACCATGGAAAATAAATACAGCTTCCAATCCGCGTTAAAAATGACCAGAGAGAGAGATTGGGACTTCTACAGAGGCTCAGCCTATTTGCCTGTCTAACAACATGATATTTTATAACGTTGATAAAATAACGGGGCCGTGTCCAGTTTGCAAAACGAAAAATGCACAGCAGCTGACGAAATGTTTGCATAATATATTCTATTGTCTTTTAGTAATGTGGCAACTTCAGACCTGAAAATCTGCAGGCAGTCAACACATGCTTTTTTCCTTCACATCAACCAGTAAATTTGTTGCTTTCTAACCCAATTTCCCAAGTCTCCAATATACCATTTGCAAAATTAATTTTTTTAACGCTTCCGCGCGCCCAGTTCACAAAATCGTTTAACCAGTTTGCCGCACACTGTTTGAAGTTTAAAGTATTAGAGTTCTAGTGAGTTTGAAATTCAGGAGGAGAGCGGTCCTTTCAAACCGTTTTACATGGACTGCTATATAAATATAAATATTTCAATTGTCTTAGTTGAGTTTCTGTAATGTTTAATTCTCTCTCGTTTGTTTTAAGCGAAGCTGATACATCTCACACTCACAGTAGCTCTTAATCTAACAGCCCAATCTTAAGATACTCTTTCTAAAAAAAAATCGAAAGGTAAAAAGCGAGCTTACCCTCTCTGGTCTGAGGGGATCTGGACAGAGCCATTTTCTTCAGCTTCCATTTGTGTGCTTTTAAGTTTTTTTTTCCTCTGGAGTGCCTGGATTGTGCAGATTTCCTATGTAAAGACCAGGAAAGGATGCAGTCTTGCAAGGTGCAGTCACGGATAAGAGATCGAGGCACCCTGTACCGCACTGATAAGGAAGCCACATGGTCAGCCCTGCCTCTTTGGCCGTTCTATTGAGCAGAAGAGGAAACGATTACAGCAGGAATAGCTTTGCAGTGTTTTTTTTCTTTGCTGTCTTTCCCTCTCTGTCTTACTCTTCTTTTTCAAACAAAATCTATTTGAGGCTTTGGGATTTGCAATTCTATGGGCCCTAAGTTTCCATTTTCTAACATTTATAGTGTTAAGTAAAAGGAGTTTAATAGACTTTGACACTGGGAAAGTAAAACCTACGCCCCCCTCCCCGCCCCATCCACTTCAAAATGAATCTATCAAACGTCTAATTTTAATCCCCGTCTGTCGCAAAATATTTATTTCTAGACTTACCAGAAATACATTCTGATAACTTCCCATTGTCCATTTATTCAATCGTTTTAAATATTTGTTCAATTTTTAAATATATATAAATAGAACCTGTTTTGTCCTCAATTTTCAAAATGTCACAGCCAGGATTGGAAATGAATGTTATCTCAGTTATTGTTACCCTTTTGATACTGTTGCCTCTGTCACGAGAGGGGGTGCAGATAAGTCAATGCAATCATGCAAAAGGTTTGCAGTGCATTTTAAGAGATTTGTCTAAATGTTGTGTTTACCTCAAATTGCAACAGCGCATTTACCTTTTGCATACGGCACACCCCAGATGCAGAAAGAAAACATTCGAATGATGCCATTTTTAAAATTGATGTCACGAATGCAAACCTGATATCCGAAATTATTCGAAAGATATGCTGTGCGATTACGGATAGCAGTGTATCTTTAGATTTAGGGTTTTTGTTGTGTGATTCTAGCTGATGATAAAAAAAGGGAAGATCCTGAGGCCTACATATGAAGTTTTCACATTCCCAGTGAAAGAACAAGGAGGAACAGTTGTACCAGAGATTTCAATTGAAGTAGCGTCTCTCAGAACATCCTAAAACCAACGAGGTACTTTCTAGTGTTCAAATGTAGTGTCACAGCAGTGAAAATGCACACAGCAAGATCTCACAATAAAAGAAGGTGTGATAATCTGTTTTCCATTGATATTGGATGAGAGATAAGTATCATTGATTACTCTGAGGGCTTTTTTTTTGTAGTAGTGCCATAGGATCTCATGCTCACTTCAGAGGATAAACAGGGCCTTGGTCTAATATGTTTATCCCACAGGCAACACCTCTGTTTGTACAATGTCCACAGTCTAAGGACACTGTAGGATCAGCCTGGACTGTATGTCCAAATCTCTGAAATCAAACCTATATCCTTGCAAACGTTGCAGTAGAGAATGGGTTCATCATTCATTAACAAATAGCAAGTCTGACAGTATGAGAATAGGGAAGTGCAGTGGTAATGACACTGGATTTCCCAATCCAAGGGCCTAGTGTAGATTCAAACTCCACCATGGCAGCTGGTGGAATTCAAATTTAATTCATAAGATCTGAAATATAAAGCTAATCTCAGTGATAGTGACTGGAATAGCTAAAATTGATTGCTGTCAATATCATCATGTTGCCATCCTTAACTAGTCTGGCCTACACGTGACTCCAGACCCACAGCAACGTGGTCGACTCTGAACAGCCCTGTGAAGTAGCTGAGTAAACCATTCAGTTCAGGGGCAATTAAGAATGGGTGACAAATGTCAGGGACGGCCACATCTTGTGAAAAAGTCAAAGGAAAAAGAATAAGAATTGAATACATAATATGGGAGCAGCTCATTACTGTTATGCTTATTTGTTCGGGGTGTGCGTTTTTCTTATAAATGACATGGACCTGATGGACTGAATAGTCTCCTATGTGTCAATGGCTCTATAAATGCTTGGAAATGTTTGAACTAATTTCAAACTTTCCCAACTATCTCTGAAGAGTCATCGCGTCATAGAGCACGGACACAGACCCTTCGGTCCAACCAGTCCCTGCCGACCATACTTCCAAACTAAACTAGTTCCACCTGCCTGCACTTGGCCCATAACCCTCCAAACATTGCTTATTCATGTACTTATCTAAATGTCTTTTAAACGTTGTAACTGTACCCGCATCCACCACTTCCTCTGGAAGTTCATTCCACACACAACCACTCTCTGTGCAAAAAAATTGCCCCTCATGTCTTCTTTAAACTTTGTCCTCTCACCTTAAAAATATGTCCACTTGTCTTGAAATCCCCTACACTAGGGAAAACACACCTGCCATTCACCTTATGTACACCCCTCATGATTTTAGAAACCTCTATAAGGTCACCCCTCACCCTGCTATGCTTCAGTGAAAAAAGGTCCCAGCCTATCCAGCCTTTCCTTATAACTCAAAACCACCAGTCCTAGCAACATCCAATAAATCTCATCTGAACCCTCTTCAGCTAATTAATATGCTTCCTATAATGTGGCGACCAGAACTGTTACTGAATCTCAGTAACTGATGCTTGGGAGTTGCCAAAAGGGTTAAGAAGCTCTTTTCAAACTCGAGAACAATGGCGCTGCATTTTCAGCAGCTATATCTGTTTACAGAACCCAGCCATGTTTTGGGGACCTGCATATAAGTGTAAAGAAAAGCCAGAACAACCGTATAAAATTGTATGCATTTCATAATGTAAAGGCCACTTCAAATCATTGTTTCCTCTATTTGTTTCCAATCCCTAGTTTTCCCTCCATTTTCAGTCTTGTAACACTGAGCAAGGAACAGTTGCTGGAATCTACAATTTTGGACACAATCCTACTGATTTTGAAGCAAATGTGGACAAAAAGGCTGAATTTGCTTTGTCTGAATGGATGATTCAAACAAAGAAATTCTAATCATGTCCCTGATGGTTCTTGTTTCTAGCAATATTCTGATAGAAGAGCATAGGGTAAATCTAGTCATACCTCGTCATTTGCCAGTCTAGCAGTCGATCATAAACTTCCCCAGAAATTCTCAGCAGCCAATCGGACTGGGAACTGATTCCCACCATTCCTATTGGTCCTTTAAACTGTGTCCTGGAATTTTCAAGCACCCGAGGATTGCAATTTACATTTCAGCATTTGGTCCGCAGTGCAAAAATGTTTCACACATTTCAAATCACACAAACCATTATGGCGCAGGAATGCTTAAAAATCATGTTGCAAATTTATCATTTTTCAACATTACTTTACAGTCTGTACATGCAGTGGATACATAGGCACCATGAAGAAACCAAGCAGGAGGCGAAAGTGGAGTGATTTGTTAATTTCCCTTTGCTTGTGGGTAGATTTTGCTGACTGCTCATTCTTCATCAACTGCTTCTGATACTATGTCCAGCATAGATTGCTCATGGTAACTCAAGTACAAAGGTATTTTAGAATGTTATAAACATTGCATTGTACAAATGACAATGTATCAATCTAATATTCCTTTGTGGCTCTAGGTCCTAGTTAAAGATAAGTAAATTTATAGAATACCTACAGTGCAGAAGCAGGCCATTTGGCATCAAGTTCACACCAACCCTCCAAAGAGGAGTATCCCACCCAGACCCATTCTCCAAACCTTGTTCCTTGCAATCCTGCATTTCCCATGGCCAATTCACCTAACCTGCATGTCTTTGGATAGAGGGAAGAAATCAGAGCGCCCAAAGGGGACAAGCTCACACAAACATGAGGAGAATGTGCAAACTCCACACAGTTGCTTGAGGGTGGAATTGAACCTAGGTCCCTGGTGCTGTGAGGTAGTAGTGCTAACCACTGAGCCACTGTGCCACGCCTATTCTTGTTTTTGTTGAGTGGTTTGCTCTGAATTTACTGATGCACCCCTTGGTTGATCAGTTCTCATGGGTTAGGCTGCCATGAGGTTAAGGGACTTGGGGTTCAGACCTGCAGCATTGAGAGATTTCAACCTTGGACAGTCCTGTCTCCACACTGTACTAGATCTCTGCTTTATCATCACACTTCTTGGGAATTCTATTGTCTAGCCCTTAGGAATTGTAACAAACTCTTATGGTTTACAGACTGTTTATACATGGTACTGATCTCTGCAATCTGTTTATACACTGTACTGATCTCTGTAATACCACTCTCCAGTACAGGTATTCCATCCTCTTAGAATGTAACTGTTGATGCCAGTGTTACATAATCCTGTACATCATCTTGCTACTAATGTACACATCCTCATTAAATCACAGTGAGGTGCGGTTTAATTGCTGCTCATTGCAGCTAAAAAACAGGATTTCTCTCTTTATCAAGCATGATTGTTCAGATTAATCAAGTGTTTTGGTTATTCTGGCTCCTATATCAATGATTGTGCTTTCATTTACTGACGCACTCTGTACATGAACATTCTGCTCTCAGTCGTAAGCTGATTGGTGCCCGAGGTTTCTGAATTGACAAATTCTCATATATTTCTAGATCGTGATAAGGATAAACCAGCACAATTTGACAACCTCTCCTTCTCTTCCTTTTAGATGTTTGTTTGAAGTGTGACAAATGGTTACAAAATGTTAGTTTGTGTCATGTATTAATAATCATTTGTGTCTGTGAGTTTTGTCTGCCATCATCTGATGCCACAATTCACATTGTGTGCTCATTCATAGTACTTGGGCATTGCTGGTAACGCCAGCATTTGTTGCCCATCTGTAATTGCCCTTGGGAAGGTGTGGTGAGCTGCCAGCTTAGTGACATGGTGTAAAGACAACAATCTCTCCATCAACAAGGTGCAGGGCTGGATGAACACAGCAGGCCAAGCAGCATCATAGGAGCAGAGAGGCTGTCA